CCATCAATCATCCAACAGATGATGCAGAGAATGGAGGCGCTTGGTGAGGTGGTCACCTTACCTGAAGAAGCGGCTGGCCTGGGCGCTGGAGCTGACCTGCTGGAAGCGGATGCCGCCGGTGGCGTAGACGTCCTCCCCAGGCCCCACCGCGTATCTGCACTCTCCAGAAGCACCAGGCCTCTGAGGTAAGCCATTGTATGTGTGCGTAGAGGGTAGGAAGTACTAAACGCACCCGTTGAACTTGAATGCTGAGTGGGATTTCTTAGAATTGAAGATCTTGCTGACGCCCTGCCTCACAGCAACTATGAACTGCTCGCGCAGCTTCTGGATCTGGTCGTTTTTCTGTGTGAAGAGGTTGTGAGTAAGACCTCAGAACGCAGAACGGGCACCGCTTTGGGTGGTGTGTCACCTGAGCACACGACAACGTGGGGTCCAACAGTGCCATCATCAGCTGCATGGTCCAGTCCCGCTCCTTGATCTGCTCGTCCCACCACTTACGCTTGTGTTGTTCCTGGTTTGTGTGTGTGTCCGCATTAATGAGGATGGGGTGTAGAAATGCCAAGCATCATCTTTGTGGAGTACCTCTTCTATTCTGCACTGGGCCAAGTGCCTGGCGTGGTCCCGCAGTTTGCCCCTTTCCTCTCGCCTCTTCGCGGCTTCTCGAGGCGAGGCGGCCAGGAGGGCTCCGGTGGTGCTGCTATTGTTGTCGTAGAGGCGCCAAGCCAAGTCGTCTCCGCCAAAGAGGTTCTCGTCGTCGTTGTCTTCGTTTTCATCGATGCCAACAATAGGGCTAGCGGAAGCGAGGCGACGCACTAGATTGCGCTGCCGCTGGTCCTCGTAGCCATGTTGCAGTGGCGGCGGTGTAGCCGGCAGACGAGGCGCAGTCGAAGAAGCAGTTGGTGATGGTACGAGGAAAAGGGGTGCAGGCCTCGGAGGCTCGGCCGACGTGGACTCTCCCGTTGCGTCCGTAAAGGAACTTGAAGATGAAGTAGAAGACAGCATTGGTGGCTCTCCCTAACGCCATTCCACCGAAGCTGAGTGTCAACATCGAGTTTTAACAAAATGGGAAAGAATAGGGGGTGGGCACCCAGGGGAAGAGGTTGTTTTCTGTGACGAGCGGGGGCCGTGGTGCTGGCATTGGGGTGGGTGTCAGCGTGGGCGCTGGTATGGGGACCTCCACACCTGGTGGGGTCCAGGTGAAAACAGGCCAGGCCTGTTCTCCTTCCTCTTCGAGAGGTAGCCCCAGAATTCTGGCTACTTCCTCTTCCATTTGCTCGTTGTCCTCGTCGCCAGCGCCACTTTCCTGCTCTCCCCACTTGTCTTCATCTTCCTTTGCCTCCTTCTCCATCTTTATCTTTTCCCACAAGTTCTGGCTTCTGCGGAAGAAAAGTCACGGCCTGTTTTTTTGTCCGTCGTCTGTATTTTCTCTTTTCATTTCTTTTTGACTTTTTATGTTAAGCCGCGGCGACTACTGGGTGGACAGGGCGGGAATCATCTTCATGCCGTGCCTGGCCGAGATGGTCACGGCGGGCAGATAGGAGACGTCGTGGCCGGGCACAAGCTCCAGCGACAGCTGTTGCAAGAGGAGACAGGCCAGCACCTTGACCTCGAGATAGGCCTGTGACACCGCACAACGCCCCATTTAGACGATGGTGCGGTGATGTGTGCCGTTGCGTGCGGTGCGTGCGCGTGTGTTGGGTACCATCTTGACGCCGAGGCAGGTGCGAGGACCGTAGTTGAAAGGAATGAAGGGGAGCGTGCCTACGGAGGGCACCGGCTTGCCGCCGTTGTGTTCGCTGCCCAGCCAGCGATCGGGCTTGCACGACAGCGGTCGGCCCAATAGTCTGGGATGCCGTCCCAAGACCCATGGACTGTAGGCTATGTCGCTCTGAAAGACCATCGTGAGTGCTATGTATGGGCGCTCACTCATGCACACACGACACACGACGCGCGACACACACAACATGCAACAAACACATGGGGGGGGGGAATGATTACCCCAGCTGGAATGAAGGTGCCATCGGGCAAAACGTCGTCCTTCACTGCCGACTTGCGGTCCACAGGCACTGGAGGATAGAGCCTGTAACGCAAGGTTGCGTCGTGAGCACGAGACCAACAAAAAGCCATGGAGACAGCACTACGGTATGCACACCTCAGCGTTTCGTCGATGACGCGCTCGAGGCACTTGAGCTGTTGCACGTTGTCATAGGTGGGCAGCCCGCCCTTCAGCTCGTCCTTGATCTCGTCAGCCACCTATTGTTGCGTTGCACAAGCGACAGACATGTCAGGCCAAGAGGAGCCCACCCCCAATGTGGTGCGCAGGCGTGCCACATACCTGTTGTCGCACGTCAGGGTACTGAGAGAGCAGATAGAACAGCCACGTCAGCGTCTGCGCTGTCGTATCGCGTCCGGCAATACTACATGGCGAGCCGCGAGTGAGCAAATGTGGACTTGAGCCAACACACAGGGCACAACGGGGACATTTGGGCGTACATGAAGTTCATGATGATGTCCCGCAGGAACTTGTCGCTGAAGGGCAGTCCGTCGTCGTCGCCGATGCTCAAGCAGCGTGAGAGCAGGTCGGTCCCTTCGTCAAGGCTCTTCTGTCGCCTTTCGTCGATGACCTCCTGCGCGAAGGCGTCCAGATCGCGAACCGACGCGCAGCTTCCACTCCATCTCCGACCACGGGGTCCACTGCGACCAACACCAAGGGTAAGTGCCTTGCACAATGTGGAATAAAAGGAATGCGTTGTGGTCACGGGTATGACCACGAACGTACCCTGTACCAGGGGTAGCGGAAGCGGTAGTCGCAGGCAAGGGTGGCGGTGTTGAAGGCCTTGGAGAAGCTGACGTCCTTCTTCAGTGACCCGATAGCCTTGCCGAAGGCGATCTCTACGGTGTGCACAAGAATTAGGATCTTAAGGTATAACACCACCGCACACAGTCTCGCAAAGAGGGGGCGCTGCAGCGTACCTCCGATGGAGTCGAGGGTCGCACGACAGAAGAGCTCCTGCACGTCCACTACCTGACCTTCGTTCGCCTTCAGAATCTCCACCACCTGTGCGTGGCAGTCACGGGCGATGAGATAGAAGAGTGCATGTGCGTGCGTGCGTGGCGATTGCGACGTACCTCTTGGCCGTGCTGGACGAAGATGGGCACCATGCTGCGCAGTTCACGCACCTTGAAGAGGTGACTCGCGGTCTGCCTCTGTTGCTTCCAGCAGCTGCCGTTGGTGTTGAAGATGCCATCGCCCAGAAGGGATACAGCGTTTCCCTGAACTCGTCACCCTGCCACGCGCGAGTCAGCACCGCACACACCGCACACACCGCACACACCGCACATCCGTAAATGCAGAAGAGCAAGGCGGGGTACCTTGATGTAGTTGTCGAAGTTGACCTTGAGGATGTGGTTGACCGCAGCCGGGTCGATAAGCACAAAGTCCAGCGGCTTGCGAGGAATGGAGAACACACACACTTTACCGTACTGCACTCGAGTGTGAGATTCGAAATCGATTCAGGCACGAGGAGGAGGAGGGGAGAAGGCCAACAAACCTTGAGGGTCATGTCATAAATCCAATCGTAGAATTTCTCGTTTTTGCTGACGGCTTCGATGAGATTGTAGAAGATGGGGATGCCGGGAGGGCCAGGCGCTGTCAGCCTCTGTGCGTGCACAGCAAAATGAAAGCATGATGTTGGTGAGAATCTTGGCCCCTTCCTCAAAATCACTCCTCTAAGAGCAACGGAAAAATCGTTCTTCGGCGCACCTTGCGATCAACGCGCCATTTGATGAAGGCCAGCACGCACACAGCAGCTACACCCACCAGCACGCTCAGCAGGCTCACCATCTTGTCTCAAGCTTGCCTCTGAGAGAGAGTTAGTTGTGTTGCGTTTGTTGTTTTCTTTGCGCTTGTTTCGGTATTGTAACGTTCCGCCCAATCGCTCTTTTACCAGATTCGCTCCCATTCGCTCGCCGTAAGCCAGCGGCCGAGTGGCTGGGTGGGTCTGGGCGCCACGTCGTGCTCCCGAACTATCCAACTACTGGGAAGCGGCAGGGGCACGAGGCAAAGAAGGGAATGGTGGCATTCAACAAGAGTTTATGTGTGAAAGAGATAAAGGGACAGAGTCATAAAAATGAAGAAAAGAAGCTTGCTGTGGCCGCTTGGGAGAGTCTGCAATCAGGCCAGGCAGTGGTGGAAGCGGGATCCGGGCAACGCGAAGCCTGGCATCGGTGGGGGAGCGCAGAAGCTCGTGCGCGGGTGGTGAGGGCCCTGGCCGAGGCCGCCGCAGTGGCGAGGCCCGTGGGCGTGGTGGTGACGTCCAAGACCGTGGTGTCCCTTGGGGCAGCGGAGGGCCTGATGCGCACACTCCCTCTTGGCCATGCGGTGGAGGAGGAGCGCCTCGATCTGGCGCGAGTGCGCGGGGTGATGGTGCTTCTTCCACTTGTGGTCGTGGCGGCCACGACAGGGCTGCGGCTCGCACTCGGCTTCGTCGATGTGATGGTGGCGAGGGTGACGAGGGTGCGGCTGGTGGTGAGGATGGCGAGGGTGCAGCTGGTGGACCTCGTGGTGAGGGCAGTGGAGGTAGTGATGGCCCACGAAGTGGTGGGGTCCGGGCATGGGCTCGCACTCGGCTTCGCCGATGTAGTGGTGGCGGTGGTGGAGCGGGTGCGGCTGATGGTGAGGATGGTGAGGGCCGTGGTGGCCTTCGAAGTGGTGGCGGTGCGGGCCGTGGTGGCCTCCAAACTGGCGGTGCGGGCTGTGGTGCCTGTGGAAGAAGCCCGGAGGCGGAAGCAGCTCATCAGTAGCGCGAGCCGCCTTCCTCTGGCGCCACACGCGGGCAGCCTCCTCGGCGAGGTCTACGTTGCCGTTCCACTTGGCCACGAGCTTCCTGCACCTCCGCTCGGGTATGTCGAAGCCCTCCTTGTCGAGTCTCTTCTTCAGCTCCTGCGCGGCCTCTTCGTGCTTGGCCGAGTCCTCCTTGTAGGCCTTCTTGTGGGAGCAGTTGGTAGATTCCTCCGCGTTCTTGGTGGCCAGGAACAGACGGAGGGTCTTGCCCTGGAAGGAGTCGAGGGCATGGTGCAGCTCCTCATCGGACGAGACGCACACGCGGTCCTGCTCGTCGTCGAGGTAGCGCAGGTCGAGCTGGTGGCGCTCACCCAGGCCGAAGGACCTCCTCACCTGACTCTCAAGCTCGGCGAAGCTGGCGCTGGTGGTGCCCACCATGCGAGTATCGCTGGAGTAGGTGACCTTAACGTAGACGGGGAGGATGTTGGTGGTGGTGCTAGAGTGCATGTTTGCAGATAGGTAGGAGGTGCTGATTGTTGTAAGTGTGTGTCCGGCGAGTGTTGGATTGCGGAATAGACGGTCTGGACCGGCGCCTTTTTATACCAGGGCTTGGCCGTCGCTTCCCTGAACTGATAGGTTGGACTGTCGCCCGAAAGTTCTTGTTTGCGGGCCAAATCGGAGTACAGACCGGCAATTCGGTCCCTTCAGTTTTCGCCGTTAAACCATTCCTTCCCCCAAATTTCGCGGTAGGGCCTTTCTTGGATGTGCCGTAACGAGTCTACAGAAAATTAATTTTCCTTATTTTCCCTTAGCACGCTGCGCACATTCCGCACTTGCAGGGAGATTTGTGGAGGGACATCATGCCGACAAGGCGTCCACTGAACTTTACTGGAGAGTGCTCAATACACAATGCTGAGTGGGACATAGGCAAACAGGGGAGACATCCCGATGCGCGTGAACAGCTTGGGTACGTCGTCGCCCCGGCTCAGGCTCACCTTCACCACCAGCTCGTAGACATCCGTGGTCGTATCCTTCTCCTGTTGTGACACAGGCCCTCCCGTCAGTCACAAGACACGACACCCACGACACGTACACGCACACGACACACAGTGGAATTCTCACCTCGGCGTTCTCGGTGATGGCAACGGCCTCGCCGCTGCCGGAGAGGCCGGGCGCGGCGGGGTCGTCTTCGGCGAAGGCGCGCAGGACGTCCTTCGAAGGGAGCGAGTAGTCGAGCGTGGTCTTGAGCACCTGCCAGGCCTCCAGCGGCAGGCCCGCGGCGGTGGACTCGAAGCTCTTCTCGGTCTTCTCCCGCAGCGCCTTGGCCTTGACGTCCTTCTCCTTAGGTGCCTTGCCCTGGTCGATGCGTTGGAGGAATACCTGGATCTGCTTGATCGTCTTGCTCGAGTTGTTCTCCACCTTGACTGCACGGTCGAAAAAAAAACAATCAATATCAATAACAAATACTGATTGTAAAATAATAAAAAGCGAGAGGCAGTGGGGGTGAGGTTACCAGTGATCTCAACCGGGTCCTCGGCGCCCCATGTTTTCCTCTTGGGCACGCCACACGTCAAAAAGATCGATTGCGACCTGGGCACGAACCGTCAGCGCTTGGTTAATTCTCGCACGACACACAAAAACGATGTAGCATCGGCGTACCTGGTGAATGGGAACTTGATGGTCTTCTTGATCTTGATCTTCTCCTGGCCGTTCTTGATGAAGCTTCGCGTCTCCACTTCCTCCTCCTCGGTGATCTCCTGGTGATGCGTCTTTTTCTTCTTCTCGGAGACGGGCTTCTCCTTGGCGGAGGACTTGGTCAGGGTGGCCCGCCTCTCGTCGGTCTTTCGCGCGGCCTTCGGGCTGCTCACCGTCTCCTTGCTCTTGCCCTTGTCCTCCTCCTTTTCTTTTCCTTCTCCTTCTCCTTCTTCTTATTGGTCCTGGGCGAGCTGACGTCGCCGTGCAGGTTGCCGTCCTTCGAGGCCTGTCGCTTCAGCTTGCTGCAAAAAGTTTGACGTGAGACCACACGACACACGCGACACACACGACACGCGCGCGACGGTGATGATGGTGGACGTACTTGAGCTCCTTCTCCTTGGAGTTGGCCTTCTTGAGCTCCTTCCGCAGGTCCTTCTCGGGGCTCGTGCCCTTGATGGCGTTGAGGATGTTCTCCGCGGCCTCCTTCGTCAGACTCTTCTTGCGCTCCTTCTCCTTCTCCCGCTTGTCCCCTCCTGACACCACCTTCTCGAGCTTGCGCTCCTGCGACGCCGACTTGTTGTCCTCCACCTTCTTGTCGTCTCGGTTCTCCCCCGATTTCCGCTTCTCGTTTTTGTCGTCCTTGTTCTCCTTCTTCTCGACCTTGTCGTCTTTTTCCCTTGAACCTTTCTTGTCGTCCTTGGTCGTTGTCTGTGACTCCGCGACTTGGTCCGGCTGATTGTTGGCGACGTCGTCAACGGGTTGCGGCTGCGGCTGCGGCTGCGGCTGCTCAGTATGCGCGAGCTGGTGTTGGTGCGTTTGCTGCGGTTGCTGTTGCTGCTGGTGCGCCCGGGGCGAGGCCTTGATGTCGCCGCCGCCCTCCTCGACCTGCTTGATGATCTTCATGTGCTCCTTCCGCTTCTTCCGCTCCTTCTCCTCGGCCTCTCGCCTCTCCACCTCCGACGGCTGCTCGTCGACGCACACCGCGGCGTTCTGCAGCTCCAAGAAGATCCTGCTAAGCCTCTCCAAGACGGCTGCACATCAACTCGACGGTCAGTCGCACATCACAAAAACAAAATTGTTATTACTATTATAATACCTTTGAAGGAAGGTCGCTTGGAGGGCTCGTAGGCGGAACAATCGCAGAGGAGCTCCCACAGGGCCTTCGGGGTGTCCTTGGGCACCTTCTTCCTGAACTTCTCAAAGTCGAAGGCGAACTCGCTCTCGGCCAGCCTCTCCGGAGGTCGCTTCCTGGTGACCAACTCCCACAGGACCTAGCCATGCCGTGCGAGCGCAACATCATTAGACGGAACGTAGGTATCAAAAGAACGAAAAGCGAAAAGCGAAGAGAGAGAGAGATGGATCTGCACCATGCCGAAAGAGAATACGTCTGCTGACTTGTCGTACTCTTCTTCGAGAAGCATCTCCGGAGCCATCCTAATAGGCATCGATGGATGATAAATAAAAATACAAAAAGTGACACTCACTTTGTCACGCAGGGAACAGTGTAGCGCACCATTCGTCCGTGCCCACGACCGACAAGTGCTTGCGTTCATGCGCCGGCGGCATCTTGCGCGCCAACCCAAAGTCGCACACCTTCACACGCCACGCCTCATCCACCTGAGACATAACATGGGCGCGCGCACGAGTGAGATGACTGGAGGCGCGATAAAGCGGCGAGCTGGGCGTACGAGCAGATTGGCCGACTTGAGGTCACGGTGCAGGATGTTGCGGTGGTGGAGGTAGGCCATGGCCAACGCAATGTCGGTGGCGAACGAGAGTCGGCGAGCCCACGACAGGGGGATGCTTTCATCTGTTGGTTGTTGGTGAGCATCGGTCAACAGGGGAACGCAAGCAGGAATTAAAAATATATTGCTAAATATAAATTCATTGTCGGAAGCTGACCGAGTAAGACGAGGAGGGGTCACCAGCAGTTATAACTGCTTGTTGGTTCTCCTACAAATAATGATGCTAATAATAATGGAAAACGAGGTTGTCTATTTCGTGTTTCAATTTGCCGAAAAAGGAAAAATAGCAAGGAACAGCAAATAAAATGAAGCACCGGATTGCGCAAAGGTGATTTGCTCTGGATGGCGAGTTGGGGGTGGAGGGAGGAGAAATGAATCTAATTCGAAATTAAAATGTCCAGATTTTGTCCCGCGCTACACATTCGAGATGAGGAACTGGTGTGCTGGCATCTAAAAGAAAGAGGTATGGGTACCTTTGAGGATGGAACGAAGGCTGCCGCCAGCCACGTACTCAGTGATGATGAAGACGTCCTTCCCGTGGCGCACAATTCCCATTAATTGCACGATGTGTGGGTGGAAGACGCCCCTGTAGCAGAAACAAACCACATCGCTCACGATGAGTTTCTACCCTCTTTTGAGGGGCTGAGAGCCTGGTTGGCACCCAGCAACTCATATCAATTGAGAAAAACAAACATCTTTGTGCTGAGATTCGCAAGAGCAAAGTCGCAGCAGAAAGAAGATCCTTCGCGGTGGGGAAACACGGGGCAGCGTACCTCAGGGTGCTGAGTTCGCGTTCGATGTAGATCTCCAGGTCCTCTTCGTCAACGGCAAGCAGGCGCTTGACGGCGACGCGCGTTCCGATGTAGTCGGCCTCCCACACTTCACCAAAGTTGCCTCCGCCCACCTTCCTCAGGAGGGTGATTTCTGAAGGATGGATGCTATACTTGAGTTCGGACATGTTGTCGTGTTTGTGCGCTTCTGCTCAGGCCTTGAAACGCTTTGCCTCGCCCCTCGAGATCAATCAATCAACCGCTCTCCTCCTTCTCCTCTTCTCGAGACAAATCTGTCCTTCACTCACCAGGCTGGCTGCCTGTCTCGATTTGAAGTCAACACGAGAAAGAAGAGAGCAGAACGACCACCCGGGCGGTCGTCTCGCCGGACCCACCGCGTGCTGACGACACTCGAGTTCACGGGCGAAACAACTATTAATTAAGGAATGGTATGATCGGCATCCGATGTGGTTGTGAACGTTTTGTGCAGCTCTCGTGCGGCTTTATTGAATGTTGACCCAACCACAGCGCCGCAGCGGGAGTTGCGACGTCATCAAGGTGCGCAAAGCGCCAACCAGAGCAGGGCAAGAGATGACACGACGATGTGACGGGCGTAAGTTTGCGAAATTTTGAAACTGTTAAGAAATTCATTTCGATTTTGGAGATGAAAAAGAAGGGAAATGGGAGAAGGAAGAAAGCAGAGGTTGCGCGAGCGAAAATGAGTCAAGAGGCCGAAGAGCAAATTGTTGTGGCGTTCAAAAAGCCAGGAGCGGGAAGAAAACAAAAGGCCAGACTACGCAAGAAGATCGTCGAAGATGAACCAGAGACTGAGGCAGACCAGGAAGCCGAGACAGAGGAAGGCGAAGATGACGCGCCCCTGGGGTACGATTTTTTAATTGTTTTGACAATTTAATTGTACACCATTTTTAACAAAATTCTGCAGCTTGATGTTGCGCGAGACCCGCAAGTTGCAGAGGGAGAGGGAGCGAGTCAAGGGCTGCGAAGCCGCTGCCACGAGGTCCCCCCCAAACTTCAAACGAAACAACAAGCCCTTTTGTGATTCTTTGGCTTACACTCGCGTCCGACTCGTGTTTTTTCTTCTTCTTCTTCAGTACCGAGGTGCTGCAGAAGATCGCGACCTCCAGTTTTGTTCGTCCCGTGGCCAACGACGATGACGACAAGGAGACACACCTGCTGGAGTCCACCTTCACTGTACAGGCCGAGCAAGATGTGGTCAACCCGCTTCTGTACGTAGCAACCACCCCCTTCATGCGTTGGTCTGCACAACGCCCAGCGATCGGTGGCGCTCACGTCTTCTTCTGCTCCACCTCCTACTCGACAGGGAGAACTACATTGAGGCGCGGCTGCGGGAGTTCCGCGAGACAAGGGCGAAGGAAGCGATCGAGAAGGCCAAGGCCGAGCGAGGCGTCGATTGGCGAGACAAGGAGGAGACCACCGAGAAGGAGTTTGATCTCAGAGGTGCGTTCGCACGCTCCCTGTGTGTAGTTAGGCACGGGCCTTACGCCTACGCTTTGTGTTCCCACAACAGAGGAGGAGAGAAAGCTCTACGAGATCCCGGAGCATCTCAAGGTGTCGGAGACCATGCGAAGCGATGATCAAGTGAGCGAGGCCTGGCTCACTGGCATCCAGGAAGTCGAGCTGCCGATCGAGTACCTCGCTCGTTCTTCTCTCGTCGTTGTGTGTGTGTGTGTGTGTGTGTGTGTGTGTGTGTGTGTGGTGTCGTTCACGGCTCACCATTCATCTGCTGTGACCTTGCAGGTACAAGCTCAAGAACATCGAAGCGACTGAGGACGCCAAGCGATTGCTGCTCAAGCGTAAGGAGGGACCCAAGCCGCCACCTCAGCCCGACGCCTACAACACCAGATGTACGCGTCCTCTCCTTTCACGCCCACGCGCAGCACCGCACGCGGTACCCAGCGCGCATCGCTTGACGTTCACTGGGCTGATGTGATGCCGGGTGGTGCGCGACCGCAGTTGGCCGGCCATCGACGCAGACGCAGATCGTGAGGAGGGACCGAAACGCCCACAGGGACAGCAACCGGGACCGAAACAACGACGGCCAGCAGCAGGGCGGCTGGCGAGGCGACCACCACAGGGGAAAGAAGTCAGAGCAGGCCACTGACGACATCGCCTTTGAGCGCTTCAAGAAGAGGTTCCGTCGTTGAGGTACCATCGATACAGAACTACGCGCGCGGTGCTCGTTGGAGAGGCCCTCTGTCCTCTTTTTGATTTTGATTGGCTTTACATGATTACATTGATAGCGTAGCACTGCAACCGATAGTTCGAACATTTCCTACGCTCCGAAGGTGCACGTTTCCACGTTGTGTGCCTGATTCCTTCATGCAAGGGCGAAGAATGTCAACTACTGGGCAACCAGCGCAAGGCCATGGTGCCGCCTCTGAAGGTTGTGCCGCGTCTGGCGAGGACATGAGCGTGGCTGCCACAAGGTCAGCGCCACTTCCTCCACCAGGCCTCGAGTCGAAGTGGACGAGATTTCCAGGTCTGGCTGTTGTTTACACGGAAGTCGAAAAACGTGAAAGAGTGCACAAGGAAGTTGCTTCTTTCTTCTCTAACGACAACACACATGGCATCATCGAAGTTGACCGAGCTGGATGACTACCGCCTCCTGGGCCGGTCGGGCCTGAGGGTGTCGCCCCTGTGCCTCGGCACCATGACCTTCGGCACCGATTGGGTACGCAACGTCTCATTGCGCCCAGCAAGCTGCGTCGTGGTGCCGCCATGACCGTGAGCTCAACCTTCAGCCACTCTCTTGCGCAGGGAGCTGGGGCCGACTTCGAGGAGAGCAAGAGGATGTTCGACCACTACGTCGAGCTGGGCGGCAACTTCCTCGGTACCGCGGTTTGCTTGGCCTCTTTGGGGGGGGGAGGGGGATAGAAGGCTCACCGCGGAGTGCTGGCAGACACGGCCAACGTCTACACCAACGGCACCAGCGAGCGGTACGTGGGCGAGCTGGTGGCGCCCATGCGCAGCCAGATGGTCGTCGCTACCAAGTACTCATCCAACGTGGCAGCTGGCGGTCCCACAGTACATGAGCTTTCCACCAACCCCCCCCCCATCCACCAAGATGTTGATGCGAATGGTTTTGCCCTCCTGTGTAGACGCACAGCACAAGAACCCCAACTTCGGGGGCAACCAGCGCAAGGCCCTGGTGGAGAACCTCGACGCCTCGCTCAAGCGCATGAAGCTCGACTACATCGACATTCTCTACGTCCACGTGTGGGACTGCCGCACTCCCGTGGAAGAAACCATGCGGTTCATTGCCCCCCCCCCCACCAACATCAAGCAAGCGTCTGGTCGTGTTGATGATGGTCGGTCTGTCACACAGAGCTCTGGACGATGTGGTGAGGAGCGGGAAGGCACTCTACGTGGCGGTGAGCGACACGCCGGCGTGGGTGGTCTCCAGCGCCAACGCTGTGGCCCAGCTGCGCGGCTGGAGTCCCTACATCGGGCTGCAGACGCGGTACAATCTTCTGGACCGGTCGCTCGAGTGGGAGCTGGGGCCCATGGCCCGGGCGCATGACATCGGCATCATCCCCTGGGGCGCCCTCGCCGAAGGCTTTCTCACCGGCAAAGTACCACTACACCACCATCAACTTCACCGTCTTATTGTGCTTGACCTTGTCTGACCTTCTCTTTCTATAGCGTGTGCGTTGCGTGTGCGTGTGCGTGTGCGTGCGTGTGCGGTGACAACTGACAGCACACTCGCGACCGCGTGTCGGCGGACAGCAAGCGCGGAGCGTGGGTCGACAAGCACACGAAAGAGGAGCGGAACTGGAGGATCGTGGACGAGGTGGTGGCGGTGGCCAAGGAGGTGGACCGCTCGGCGGCGCAGGTGGCCCTCAACTGGCTGGCCCAGAAGCCCGGCGTGACGAGCCCGCTCGTGGGTGCGCGCACGCTCGACCAGCTCAAGGACAACATCGCTGCGCTCGAGTTCACCCTCTCGCCCGACCACATGCAACGCCTCGACCAGGTGAGCGCCAGGCCGCCCGCTGAGCAGCCCTTCCCCGCGTCGTTCATCGCCGCGCGCGACTACACGGTGGGCCTCACGAAGGTGGCCACGCGCTACAACTGAGGACCCGAGGTGCCGCTCGCGATCGAGAGAAGATTGGTGATTGTGGCGCGCAGCTTCATTGTTGATGATGATCGTCAGTGTGGTGCCGCAGCTGCCAATACACTTCGTCTGGGTCTCGCTTTTCTCGTTCTTCATTCACAGGTTCTTGACGATGAGCGCTCCCCGCGGCACCAGGTCTGCGCAGTCCACACACACAGTCAGCGCTAAGCGGCCAAAACGAGGCATGCACGGTGACTAGTACCCGCGGCTCTGAGCGTGGTCGAGTCGAGGGAGCTGCCGCTGTAGTCTTTGCGCGGGAAGGTCGTGCTCAGGGCAAACGGTCTCCCGTCAGTCCTGCACCACCACCGCCACCACCGCGCCGCCTTGATATGAGCACTTGCCCCCCCCCCAAGCCCCCAGAAGGGGGCATGCCACGACCGACGCACCTGCTGGCCTGGACCCAGCTGTGGACGACCCGCAGCGAGTCGTCGGGCTTGAATGAGTTCTGCAGGGTCTTGCCGTCCGGGAATCGCACCTGCACCACGGCCTCGGTCGCCGTGGACGCGCTGCTTGCCGCGACTGCTCGCAATGCGATCATGCAGACCATGGAGAGAGTACTTGCGTTGAGCACCATTGGTGCAGGAGATGATATAGAGAGAGAGCGAAGCGAGATTCGAGTTGTGGGTACCCGGTTGCGCGGCAGGGGCAGCGGCAGCAGGTGCAGGCGCCGGGGCAGCGGCAGCAGCGGGCTGTCGAGCAGCCAGCTTCGCGGCCTTTTCTCGCGCCAGCTTCTCCTTGATCTCGCGCAGCGCCCGCGCCTCCTCCTGTTGTGATCGAGAATGCGCGAATTCAGTCAACAGCGGCCGCTGCGCCACGCGATGGGCGTGTGTGTGGTCAGAGTCGACACGGGTGAGTGGCACGGTACGATACCTGCTTCTCCTTCTTGCGCAGAGCGAGGTCGCGCTGGATCTGCTCCTCCTTGAACTTCTCCTTGGCCGCCAGGATCTCCTTGCCCATCTGCCTTCGCTTGAGCTCGCGTTCGCGTTCGGCCTGAACGAAAGTGAAGAAGAAGAAGAAGAAGAAGAAGAAGGAATTGAGCCAATTTGTGTCACTGTTGAGCTGTGTCGATCGAGATCAAGGAGGCACGCGAGCGAGTTGCGAGCGCTGAAACGGCGAACCTTCTTCTCTTCTTCCTGCTTGAGCCTCAAAACCTCCTTCCGCTTCTCCTCGAGCCGCTTGAGAGCGGCCTCGCGCTCCTCGGGGGTGAGTGGCTTTCTCTCGGGCATGGGGATGTCCTCGGTGAAGTGCCCGAACTCGTGATCTGCCCAAGGGTCGGTTGCCACACGTCACCATACGCACATGAGCACGATGGCGCTGGAAGAACATGCGTGATACGACACACACGACACACGACACACGACACACGACACACGACACACGACACACGACACACGACACACGACACACGACACACGACACAACACGACAAACAACGCACAACACGGTGCTTCAGCTTCGATTTCGTACCGGGGTCGTGGTTGATGAGCCGCTTTTCGTAGCAGGCGTCGCAGAGGTCGTAGTCCTTGCACGACTTACACTTGTGGCGCGTGCCGACGATCTGATCCTTGCACGTATCGCTGTGTGTGTGTGTTGTGTGTGTGTGTGGTGTGTGTGATGTAGTGTGTCGTGTGTGTGTCGTGTGTGCATACGGCGTGAGCCATCGAACGGTGTTAAAGAAGCAGCTGGCTCGGGAGAAGGGAAATGACCATAGGGCGTTGTGGACGGTGGGCGGTTTCTCTGCACCGTCGACGGCCATCGGTTGTGGTGCCTGGCCAGTGGGCGCGTTACCGCCTGTGGCTGCCGCTGGAGCATCTTCAGCAGACTCAGGGTGCGAGAAGATCCTGTGGCAGACCCAAACAACTCGGCGTAAGGGGGAAGGGTGGCGCATCCCACAGATCATGCATGGATTGATTAATATAGATTTATAATGATATATAGATTGATAATAATTAAAAAACAACTTATCATAGATTTATCGCGTGAAGTGCATTTCCTGGTAGCTGCTTGCCAAGCATTACAAGATGTTGCGTGCACGCACCACTCCATAGCAGCCTCAGTCGAGGTGTTGCCAGTGGCAGCGATTGCCTTTGCCGCCTGGCCTTGCGAAAAGCCCATCTCCATCAATTGCGCCACCGATGCCATGCTTTGATCACTTTCGTTTCTGCTGCACGATCTACCTTTCTCTCCTTCCCTCTCTGCGCCACGCAAAGGAAACGTGTGTAGTTAACTCACCGAAGCACATCGTACCCAGTAGCCATTTCATCACGCCAGGCCGGTTAGCTTAGTTGGTAGAGCGTGGTGCTAATAACGCCAAGGTCGTGGGTTCGATCCCCACACTGGCCATTCTTTTTCTTCCTCGCTAAATCGACAAAATTAAAAGTCCGACAGCATTGGCGAAGAATAAAAGCCATTGGTCGGGGAATTTTACGAGAACATACTTGGCGTTGAATGTTTGGGGCGTCACCTACACGACCCCACCACGGCCGTTAGATCTGTAAGTTAGATAAAACTAAATAGGAGGTCGAAAAAAACGAAGGGTGAAGATAGAATAGACAAGAAGATGGAAGTGTCCGACAACGGCGCCTCGACATCGATCAAGAAGAGGAACTCCCCCTCGCCCTCGATAGATGGATCATCTACGCCGGCGGGCAGCTCCGGGGGAGGCACATCGACAAAACGACCAAAGGTGAACCGAGCCTGCGCCGAATGCAAGGAGTCGCACACCGCCTGTGACACCGAACGCCCCTGCGCCCGCTGCGTATCGCTAGGGCTGGGGGATAGCTGTCGCGACGCCGAGTGCAAGAAGAGGGGGCGACCCAAGAAGGTCAAACGCAACGCGCGAGGCGCCACCACCCAGAGCATGCCCAGCATTATCAACGGTAAGAACCCCCCCTCTCTTTATTCGTTCTTTTGCACCTTTCGTCTTCGCTCTTCTTGCCGCCCCCCCCTCCGTTCTCGGCCCGCGAAGCTTGGCTTTCGTGCAACTCTTTCATGCAACTCCCGAATTGCTCTCTCCGCTGAAACTTCTCGCGCCGATTTGCTGTTGCTCTCCTTCATTCTGGTCACCAACCATTTCCCGCTTCTACTGCCGTTTGTTGCACTCACATGTCTATCTTGTCGTGTTGTTGGTGATGGTGATGGTGATGGTGTATTGCTCCACCAGTGGCGATGCCGAATGCCTCGCTGGGTATCAGCTTCGGCTCGATGATGGGGCACCCCAACATGCTGGGCGGCGTCCCCTTCTCTCCCGCCGGGCTCCAGTCGTTCGGCCCCGGCGTCCCGCAACACGTGCTCCCTCAGGGCGCAGCCGGCTACCCGGGGGCCGCGGCCGCAGCCGGCGGCGCCCCGTCGTTCCACCCCTTCGCCGCGCAGCTGCAGGCCGGCATGATGATGCCTCCCGCAGCGGCCGCAGCCACGCCACTCAACTCCTCAACCGCCACTTCGCCCGCATCGGCCGCCGCCTCGTTTCCGCCGCCCGTGTCGCCCGCGCAGGCGTTCGGGCGATCCGCGCCGTCGGGGTATACGGGTGTCCAGGTCAAGCAACAGCCGCCGCAGTCGGCGCCCAACAGCGGAGCCTCGCACGCCCACGCCTACGGCGGGTACAGCCACGGCAATGGCCAGCAGTCCACACAATCGCCGGCGTCGCCGCCCAGCCCGATCTTCTCGCACCCGTCGACGACGATCAATTCCTCTTCGCCGCCCTCGCAGCCCTCGCCAACGGTGCTGTCGTCATCGGCCCCCGCCACGGCCTTTCCGGGCATGACCGCCTCCGCTGCCGCTGCCGCTGCTGCCGCCGCCGCCGCGGCGGCGTCGACGCCGATGAGCCAACACGACGGCAAGATGCTGATGTCGGCCCTCTCCATGCTGCTCAAGGAGGTCAAGAGCCTCAAGGAGACCACGCACGAGCTCAAGCAGGAGACCCTCAACCTGAAGAACGAGCAGGTCCTGCTGCGCGAGCAGTTCGCCACATTCCTGTCGTCCCAGGCCGCACCGCACCAACAGCCACCCTACTCCTCCTCCTCCTCGTCGTCGTCGTCGTCGTCGTCCGTGTCGTCGCCTCAGTTCTCGATCATCTCCACAACCGGCGCCGCAGCGGCCGGGCAGCAGTTCTCGCCGCCCTTCGGCAACATTCCGCCGGCGCCGGGCCACCAGCAGCGCTTCGGGAACGGGTCGCGCGGGACTCCCCAGAACCCGGTGCCCTTCTTCAAGGGCATGCCCTACATTGCGGTGGAGGGAATCCAGTACGCGCCCTTCTTCGCTCTTTTAGCTCCGAGCTCTTCTCCCCGCCCATCATTCAACTCCGAATGGCGTTTGTTTGCTCACAAACAACTTCTTCAGTGTGCCGTCGTTCGTGATTCGAAATCCCAACAAGCCGCTGGTGTTTGTGCTGAGGAAGAAGGGCCTCAACGGCATTCTGGCTGCCGTGAACTATGCCTTCTGCCGACTGTTCCAGTTCGAGATGGTACGCCACACCATCAACACACACACACACACACACACACACACACACACACGCACACACACGCACACACACGACACACACGACACACACACACACACAATCCTCCTACAACTATGCGCGAAAGAGAAACGCGACGAAGTTGGTAGAGCCACATCTGTTCTTCTTACACGACTCTACACTGTGTCTCTAGGACGAGATTGTGGGTTGCTCGTGGCAGAAGCTGGTCGCCCCCGGAGAGGCGTCGCGATTATTGCATCTCGTGATCCCCTTCCTCAAACGCTTCAACAAGACCTACAGCCCCGTGCTCACCATCCAGCCCCGATGTCTCACCAAGGACGGCACCATCTTCAAGTGCGCCTTTCTCTCTCCCCTTCCAACTTTATTTAATTGATTCTCTTTCAGTGTGTTTTAATGTTAATTCGTATGTTGTGCTCACCCAATCACAGAGCGGTCACCCGACACCAGTTCTTCTACGATCACGTAGGACGGTACAGGCACCGATGATGTTGTATTTATTTATTCATTGATTGAGCTAACATTCACACTATTTTGTGAATTATGATTGTAAATATTCAGGCCTGTGTGGAGCGCCATCGCGCTGGAGGGCGTCATCCTGACGGGCGAAGAGATGAACGGCAGCCATGCTCACATCCACCAGGTGCGGCAGGCGATGGGCCTGGACAACTGGAGCGAGGACGGCCCGACGGGCATGCCGCACATGGGCCAGGACATGCCCGTGCGCAAGGAGGACCCCCACCAGCAGCAGCCACTGCACAACCAGACGCCCTACTCCCACCCCATGCACGAGTCCACCTCCACGAGCACCAGCACGAGCACAAGCACCAGCACGAGCGTGACCCTCGCCGGCGGCGTCCCGCTGGGCGAACCGGGTCCGGACGGCTGCAGCACGGGCCTGGCCATGAACAGCACCGGCCGGTACTCGTGGGCGTGGATGCCGCCGTCCACGCCGCCCTACATCTCGTCGCCACAGCTCACCATGTTCGAGGAGGACGACCCTTCCGACCACTCCTGAACCCCAACCAACCAACCTTCTACTTCTTCTTTCCTTTCACTGTCATCACCATCATGTTCGTATATTCGTTGTGCATGCAAAAACCTCATTACATTCATCACTCATCGTTCATGATGTTGTCGATTGCGCGTTGAGAAGCTCGTCGCGCACCAGCATGAGAATCTTGCCCATCTTGTTCTCGCCGAGGGTGGCCGACTCGGGTATGCCCCAGTAGGCGTCGTTGCGCGTTCGCTGGATGAGCGTGGCGCCCTTGGTGGCCAACAGCTTGGCCCGCTCCTCCGGGTTCTGCTCGAACTTGGCTCTGATCGCCTCCTCGGCCACGCGCTCCTTCATCTCCTCCCAGTCCTTCCTCAGTGGCTTCGATCTGTCCCTGCCTGTGTGCGGTAGCATGCGTGGCGTGTGCGTCGTGTCGAGCGCGTGGTACGGTGATGAGGGTTCAGACCGGTGCATTTCACTGAACAGAGCCAGAGAAGGGCGCACCCATGTTATGCGCAGCCTTGACGGTCTTGGCCTTGCGAATGGCCTCTTCGTGGTCGCTGCCGACAAACTTTTGCGCCTGCTCCGACCGTGGTGAGGAGATAAAAAGTCGCTTGTGCGGTTGGGGGGGGGGAAGACCTGGAAGTAGTGCTCTACAGAGGGCCATTGTCGGCCACCGATGGTGAAGCCGACGAGAGCACGGTTGGAGAGGAACCCATGAGGGCCGTCCGCAGTTTCGCCCGAGTAGTTCACCACCGTGGCGTCTTCTTCCATTTGGTTTTATTGTTTTATTTTAATTTTAATTTTAATTTTAGCATGAACTTTGTCTGCGTGATTTTCTTTTTATTTTCTTTCGCACATCGTCTTCAGAAATGACGTTTCCCAGACGACTTCCGCGGTTGTCCCGATTTGGCCTTTCTCGAAGGAGGACGTCTGGTTGTCGCGAGCACGATTGTGGCGGATCTTTTCCATCCTCACATCTTCTCCCCAGCAAAGCATCCTTCCATCTCAGCTCTCTGCGAACTCGGGCGAGCCACCTTCGCAAGAAACGATTCTGCACCTATTCTCGTTCGGCTAGAAAATTCGCCTGCATTGGCATCTTCGCCATTATCGGCGTGTTCGCGGAAGGATATAGAGGAAGATGATGAAACCAAGTGCCTCTGCTTCGAACCTCAGCGTTCCCCTCGTGGCAAAGCAGTATCACTACACCGTCGATTGCGATCTTCGCCACAAGAGATCATCTCCAGAAGACCCGAGCGATGATGTCTTCAACGTGAGCGAGGAGAAGGAGGAGGTCGAAGAGCGACCCAGGAAGCGGATGCGGGTCCTAGGCGAGACCGATAGCGAAGATGAAGGAAAGGAAGGGCTCGACGGCACGAGCGAGAAGGACATCTCCAAAGAGGAGATCGAGGACAACATAAATCGCCTGACGCGGCTCATCGAGCCCCTCGACAAGATCAAGAAGGACACCTCCCTCTTCAAGGACACGCTACGTCGAGATCACTTCAACGCCGACTTCCAGCCCTGTGTGCTCAAGATCGAGAACAACATCCAAGAACTCTACATGCAACTCGTAAAGTGCCGATCGTTCTACTCGTTCCTGCTCGATGCGCAACGTCCCGTCCAGGCCGAATGGGGCTACTTCGGGATGCTGCCACCCGAGCTGTTGCTCAAGATCTTCTCCTTCCTCGATGGGAAGGATCTCGCCATCGCCCAGTGCACCTGTACCTTTTTCCGCAAGGTCGGATCGGACGAGTCGCTGTGGAAGACCATCTGCGAGAGCCTCTGGTCCCAGGACATCGCCCTCGGGCAGAAGCCCGCGAACAAGCCTTGGCGCTGGCTCTTTGACTGCAAGATGGTACGCACATCTATAATCCTTCTCCCACATGCCACATCTTGCTTTGAGCAGCTTACGTGCTGGCACGTCACTTCATGTCTAACCTGTGGCGTCTTACATGAGAGCAGCACAGCTTCAAGCGTGGTGAAGAAAAGAACGGGAGTGGACAGTTCACGCTGGAGCACAACAACGTGTACGAGGGCGAGTGGAAGAAGGACAAGCGCCACGGACGAGGGACGGGCATCATGGCCGACGGCCGGCGCTACGACGGCGAGTGGGAGGAGGACATGCGCTCCGGCTTTGGCATCTTCCGCTGGCCCACCACCTGCAACCGCAACGGCGGCGACTCCTACGCTGGCTATTGGAAGGACAGCAAGAGGCATGGCCCTGGTACGTTGAAGCTTACACCTTCTTCTTCTTGTCGTCGGTTCTTAATCATGACATATCAACTGACACATTGCTGCTGCTGCTGCTGCGATGTTCAGGCGTCTACACGTGGGTCGACGGGACCAAGTACGACGGACAGTGGAAGGACGGTAAGCGGGAGGGCACGGGCACAGTCATCTGGCCCGACGGCCGGCGCTACGACGGCGAGTACAAGGACGGCAAGATGGAGGGCAAGGGCACCTTCACCTGGCCCGACGGCAGTCTCTACGAGGGCGAGTACAAGGCCGGGCGGCGGCACGGCTTCGGGACCTACACCTATCGCCAGGCCGGCGGCGTGTACAAGGGCGAGTGGAAGGGCGGGAACCGCGACGGCTGGGGCACCCTCGAGAAGGCCAACGGCGACACCTACAAGGGCAACTGGAAGGACAACCAGCCCAACGGGTGGGGCGTCATGTCCTACGCCAACGGTCAGACGACGCAGAAGATTTGGCACCCGAGAGAGCTTTCGATGGAGCCCTGAACGACCCTCCGTCCGAGCTGCTGGCTCTCTCTTCACCCGTGTATGCATGTTATTTATTTACTCACTTACATATCTCTTCTCTTCTCTTCTCTCTCTCTCTTCTCTCGACCGCGAATGCGCACGCCAACTGTATGACCATCTAGGCGCGGTCTCTTCAAATGTGCGTTTGAACAATGAAGTGTTGTGCACAACCCCAAACAACAACGTGGCTGTGTGTCACAGAGTTTATGTTTTTTTTTGAGTCTTACATGTTGCTGGCATTTTCAGCCCGTGGTGGCATTGGGCTTGATGAAGGCTTCGATCTTTTCGGAGCAGAGGGCCATCACCTCGGGCATGGCCACCAGGTTGTTCATGTAGGCCAGCAGCTTGGTGCGCCGCAGTTCCACCACATCCGTGCTCAGATTGTTGAACAGCTTCTTTCCTGCATTGCAAGTTAACCCGAACGACGAATCTTCAGCTTGTGGCCACAAACACGACACGCAAGACAATATAATCGTACCAGGGAAGAAGGGAATCAGGGAAGGCGACACCCGCTTCGTGATCTGCGCGTACATCAACGGAAGAAGAAGAAGAAGAGAAAGCCGGTTAGAAGAGAATCTCAGGGTACTTGGGCGGAAGAAGACAGTACGCTCTTGTGGAGTTCCAGGAACTCGGAGTAGCGGTGGACGACCGTGTGTGTTTCGTCCCCCCGTCGCACCAACAGCGAATAGACCTGTCGTCGCCCACGCGCGTAAGCCTGCGGTCGTGTACTACAGCGGAAAGAGAAAGAGAGAGAGAGAGAGAGGACGAGAGAGGTACGGTGTAGTTCTTGAACTTGGTTTGGTTGGTCTGCGTGGACGTGATCTCGAAGCTTATCTTGGACTTGTCGGTCGGCGCCGCAGTCGGGATCATCGTCAACCGCGCTGCACCCGCCGCCCCACCACACGCAAACTCCACGTCAGCCACACACGACCGCACACGACCGCAGGACAAGGCACCTTCTAGTGTCGAGGTGCTGGTCTGACTGCAGACGTCGACCTTGACCGCCTTCTTCATCCGCTCCTGGCGCATCTCAGAGTCCGGCCGCTTGGGCAGCCGTCGCACCGGCGGCCGCGGCCGCTCCTTCGTCATGTGCTGCAGTGCGGGCACCGGCGCGCCCTCGGTGGCGACCGCGGCGGGCTGCTCGGGCCGTCGGAGCGTGGGCGGTGGCCCGTGGCACGGCAACACCGGCTCGACGCCCCCGAATCGGGCCATGACCGCCGGCTGCGAGCGCGGCGATATGGGCGGAGCGACGGCCAACGACGACGACGGCGGCGACTGGGCGGCGGGAGAGGGGAGGCGCGGCTGCAGGGTCGGGGCGCGGGTGGAGGCGCGGCGCTGGGACTGGCAGAGGATGTTGGTGAAGCGGTCCTTCTGCTCGACCGTCGTGTTCTGGGTGTAGTAGAGCCGCGGACGGGGCGGCGGCAGCACAGCCCCGTAGGGTCCCGCGGCTCGGTCCAGCGCATACCTGGCCGCGTTCCGCGCTCCGATTCCCACCCGCTGTTGTGTCGTGTGTCGTGTGTCGTGTGTCGTGTGTCGTGTGTCGTGTGTCGTGTGTCGTGTGTCGTGTGTCGCGTGTCGCGCGTCGTGTGTCGTGTGTCGTGTGTCGTGTGTC